CTTTTAGTGGGTTAACCGATATTTTTTTCTTAGTAATTCTCACCCAAAGCAGACCACCCCTAAAATGAAGAAAATTTCAACTGACCGGAAAAGCAGCCGTTTTGAAAATGCATCCCTCTGCAAAACGGCTAAATAGCTGCGATTGCATCCAAATTGCTCAGAATTGGAAGCCCTGAGTCCGGGCCAGAGGTTCAGTGCCATATTTCTTCAATTCCGCAATACAATGGATCAGGTTTCTCTAATATAGAATAGGCCTATCTTGAGCATAACTCTCGGCGGACACACTTCTAGTCTATTTGCGGAGGTGCACCCTAAATGAGAGTAGGTTGGTCACCCATTTACTATTTTTCGCCAAAGAACCCACAATTCAAAATCTACTGGTTAATGAATCATGCCATCTAGAGTTGAAGCGAAAGTGCTGCAAGCGTGCAGTCTAACAGGAAAGTGGGCCTACGTTATCCTTTTCAGGGTTTGCCTTTTCGTTATTACTGATTTACTATCATTAATATTGTTCTAGAAGTTCAAGTAAGCGCACCGAACCGCATGTAATATGCAAATTATTTGATTCGACCCATGTTAAAACCTTGTATCCATTCTTACTATCATTATTTTGTCAGTATCAAATTACAATACGATTTATGGAATCATTCATGGGAAAAGGAGACGGACCATCATTTTCTTGAAAACAAGTACGCTTTTGCTAATAAGGCTCCTACTCCATACTCCGCTACTGAACTGGAGGCATTTTTGAATTAACTAAATAGCTGCAGTTCTTTGAAAGACAAACCAAAGTTTGTAAATATATCATCCAGGAGTGAGAATCTTAGAGCATCAGGCAGCTTCTTAAAACGTAGGTCACGGTATAAATTAGGGGTTCTCACACATCCCACCTGCCACTGAGCATATCGTAACATGACGTGCGCCCTCTTTCGAGATACATAGAAAGGGTTTTTGTGGGGTCTTGTGCCCTTTCTATTTACTAAGTTTTCCATAAACACTGTAAATGGAGACCAGACGTACGCCAATTTTCAAAAACGTTGAATTAAAACTTGTACACGGCGCTAAATATTATTGAATGTACAGGACACTTACGAAAACGACAGGGAAATAAAATAACTTTCATTTTTGTTGGTAATAGTCGTGGATAGTTAACCTATGTAAGAAACATATAATAGATCACACATTTATTAAATAAAGAGGTATTTTCTTTAGGCATCATCTACACGATGTGCGAAAGCACTGATTGGGGTTTTAGTTGTTTATCGTTGCTCGCAATGTGTCATCGATGCCATGCATGCACGCGGCCCGTGTGATGATTGCGATGATCTATGCAGCCTACATCATGTATGGACCACCTGCTGAGTGACGTACTGTTTACTAATGACCTGGGAGCAAAACGCGGTTTTTGAAATTATTGAAAATTGGAAGCAACATCATTTGTGCTCTTACCCAACACTGAAGTTCTTCGTAATAAGGCCGCTTTTGGCCTGACCTGCTGACGACTGCGACTGGCAAGAGCTAACTGCCCATGCAGTAGTACCTTGAGTAAGTCATGATGTCGGCCCTATGCATGTTGTAACGTTAGGCAGTCCCCTCCTTCCTTAGGCAATGGCCCTAGGCCTAAGTTGGTTATGACAAGTATGGTTAAAAATTCTCTTTTTCTTTCAAAACTAACGTTAGAATAGAAAACGCTCTTCATCATGTTCATGAGTGAGCAGGGCCATGAGAATCGAGTGTGCTTTCTAGAAGCAGGACTTTGCCACGATGTCATGGACATGATGGAGGTTGTGGTTACATGTTGCTCCATTTATTTACATGTAAATGATGTAGGCCTAGTAGTACTACTGGACTCCTTGTTTGGTCTCTCCATCACCAAATCAAATGGAACGAGGAGCCCCCATGGCATGCATGATTTAGTTCAACTTCCAGGTGCATGTATGTACATTCATGTGTGTATGATTGCTTGATTGCAATGAGCTACATATATAATTATAAAGTAGTCAGTTGTTTGGAAAACTTTCTCAGAATCTACTTCCCATTTTTAAAACAGTCTGTCAGAGTTTGGATTACGGTGATGCAATCAACAGCCTCAGAACCATCAGAAATAAACCTGAGCATCCCCACATTCATGTAAGTAAGCTTATTCCTTTTCAAACAAATTTCTGACACTCGTGGAGGTACATGTAAAGGTAAATATGTAGAAGTTATTTTAATTCAGAAACTTGATATAATTTGACCAAAGGAAAACCTTTCGGAAACAGCTTGAAGGCCTTCAGTTTTATGACACTAAATCAATTTGCACTTTGTAAAATTTAGACTTTAGTTAAATGAATGATGTAAGAACATTTCTTGGTTCTGTAAATTTGTAAGAGTATATTATATCTTTGCAAAGTTTTTTTGGGCCATGAAGGAACCCTTAATTGTACAATTGCTGTAAATTTCACTTCGTTTGCATGAAAGTCAATGAAGTTTTCAAACTGAACAATAACAATGCTTCAGTGCCACAACAAGATCTACATGTTCATGTACATATATAAACATGTATATTGTTTCTCAGCATTCAAATTAAGGATGTATCAAAAATATTGAATTTCTACTGCTTCATTTGAAGAAAATCATTTCTTTTGAATCTTTTGTATATTTTTTTGCCAGGTGCAGTGGAAACCAGATTAGTTTTTGTGTACTCTATACTAAAACCAGTGATTTTATCCTTTTCATTCCCAACTCATCAAACTGTCAATTTCTGGACTTTCTAAACTTTCATTGTACTTTCATGCTCATGAAAATTACATATTACATGTAAATTAAACACTTATCATGGTTGAATTTTGGAATTTACAAATATCTAAAATGGACAATGTTTGTCACTTAATCTAAGTTAAAAAAGACTAAAAACTCAAAAAGATATTTGGTTGAAGCAAACATCAGTTGCAGAATACATTGATCTGTCAAAAGAAGGTGACAGTTTTGTTTGGGCAGAAAAGCGTTTCCTATCCTGTGTCTTGAAAAATATTATTTTGAGATCCTCTGTTCACAGTACCAGTGCATCACTTTGCAGATTTATTTTACAGTTTCATTTGCATTCACTGTCAGGCCTGAAAGTTACAGTACATTCTCATTGGCTTATAGGCCTTGTTGCCTCTTTAAAACGTGTAGAGAATTTTTTCCTGTTTGTTTTGTCTGACTGCTCAACTGCTCATGTCAAAAGAAAAAAATAATTAATAAATAAAATAATAAAAAAAAGCTTCTACCCTGAAACCAGCTCTCCAGAAGCCCTTGCAGTTCAAAAGATCTACATGTAACTAAAGTTTTGGTATGTGGAATGAAACAGTTTATTTTATAAGGTAATAAAAAAGAGCAAATTTATAAAACTCTGGTTCAGCTACATTTGTTTTTGCAATACATTGCAAAAACATTACTTGATTACACCCATTACTTGAATCAACTTTACCCAGAATTTAGAAGGCTAGTCTTTCACATGCACACGTACGGTACACAGTGTGTACATGTCTTCTATCTGTACATGTACATGTAACAAATAGGTGCTAACTTTACACTCCAGTGCTGACAGTAACCCTATCTGCAAGGCTTGTTACCATTCTGGGATTGTTGAGTTCAAACAAATGCATGGTTGAGTCCTTCATCGAACCTGGCTTCGTCTGCAGTGAGAAGTGATCTTGTTACCCCGGACACTGGCAGTAATTGTTTTGTTGATGCCAAGATGTGGTGTGCTTATAAATTATAATGCAGACATGATAAATGGCAAATTTAGTTAGTGTACATGTACAACTGTACTTGTACATGTACATGTATTTTAAGCATCAGGACGGGTGGAATGTTGCTCGTACATGTACAATACATGTACATGTGCACCTGTAAGTACCCATCAAAAGAATGAGAGGACTAAAGAGTACAATAGGGTGTACAAGCCCATTTTGAACAAAAGAAATAAATTACTGGGTTAGATTACCACACAACCACCACAGTCCAGTATAAAGGAGCATATAGTACAAGAAGCTGTACATGTACGGTACATGCTGAGCTTGCACTCGGTGTTCTTTGATATTAAACCGGAGTTGTTTTGTGTCACTGTTTGAAAAGATGGTCAATTGTCGCAGTTTACTAGACACCACAATTTTGTGACGTATACTACATTGCAATGATTGCTTCCCTTGGGTGAAATTACGGGCAACGTTTGTGATGAAATACAAATGCCATGCAGAGAAAAGAACTCCAAGTGGGTCTTTGAGGAAGTGACCTGCATTACCATTCTTGACCTACTGCTCTGACAATCCTAAATTATCTAAAAGGTTAGTGCTAAAAATGTGTAGCAACTTGGTTTCCAGGGCAAAGAAACTTTATGCTAAGACAAATGTACATGTACATTGTTTTAGGCTAGGTAAATGCACATTGCACACTGGTGTGATGGGAAACTCTGCAGGTACATGTATAGGCCTAATATTTCAAGATAAGGTGCATAATAAGAACATGCATTGCATACTGGTACTTAGTACATAGGCTGTATCTAAATATACATGTAAGAATTCTGGAGTCAGAATCTGGAAACATTTCCAACCATGCTATAGAAAGCAGTTTGTGCATATTGGACATCCAAAAGGGTTTGCCTGTTCATAGTGTGAATTCACAAATAAAGTATGACTGGATGTGTATGTACATGTATGTGTATGCCCTTGAGACCCTTTCTATTCCAATTCATTAAAATCCTACTGTACTCCTGGTTTCCTAAATAATACATTATGTATCAGTACATCATTCATGTACAGCATGATGGTGTGGTACGTATGCGTTATTTTGATGGAACTTACTCAGTGTGTGTGTCCCCAGTTGCCCAAGTACATGTACTTTGTACTTTTTATAAAGCATTTGTCACAGCTCTTCATTGCAACAGATGACGATCAAATGCAAATGGTTGCAAAACTGATTGGGGAATTTCTGTTCTTCTAAACCCATACATACATGCACAGGGGAACTCATGTCAAATTTTTTTGCCCAATATTGACTGGCAGCTCTTGTGTTTGTACTTTGTAATGGAAGACAATTAAATGTACACACAGGGGCTTTATCTTTAGCCTAACTTCCAATAAGCAAATTTTCCTGGCACCAAGTTGCATGTACCATATCTGATACATGTGTTGGACTGGCATTGTAATGTTTGTCAGCAATCAGATGAGTTTGATACCATTCCACAGTCAGTTGGAATGTAAACACTTGAGTGATAGTGGTGAGCGGCTGCACTTTGATTTATTAGTTGCCTGTCTGGGAAATTAGTGCTTAGTACTGTTTGTATTGACATTAATTGGAAGAAAATTTATGTTTGTTGGTGTACAAAATGTAAATACGGTAATTGCCATGCGTGTCTGTGAATTTCATCGGCTTAAGTCACTCTATATTTTAAAGTCACTGTTACAAAGGAAAAGTAATATTTATGCTACATGTACATGTAATGTGTGAAGATGTTCACAAGGGATTATTTTCTGCATTTACCACTCAAACGTTGTTCCTTTATTAATAAAAACTCAAAATTACATCATAATCTAAGTGCATGTGCAACTCATATCACCGAACTTGACCAAATAACACAAGTTTGAAAAATACGTTCAAAAAATGCCCAAAGTTACCGTACAACAAATACCATAATCTGTATTGAAATGTACAGGATGCATTTACAGTATGTTGCATTTCAAACGAACATAGCTAACTTACTATATTGGCATTGTCTTTGATCACACTTCACAAATACTGATGTACATGTACTCCAATATTTGAAAGAGTACCAACGAGTAGGAACCATCCATACTATAGGATGACTTCCTTGGGATGTGTTGCCATGGTGATGAAGATCACAGCTAGGATTATCACTCTTCTTTACCTTAGGGAGCAGTTGTGGATAATGCACAGGTGACATCAAAATAGTTAATTTGATATGAAGCACTCACATCTGAAAAAGCAAACTCATTATTCAGTAACATTGACGGCTAAGCCTTCCTTCGCCACAAATGAACTTTGCACATTGACATACGGGACATGAAGCATCTGTACATTGCATACATACATGTACATACTGTACATTTACAGTGCCAGGGCATAAAAATTTTGGTGGTGCCTTGTTTTTAGTACACAATCTTCGCCATGGTGGTATTTACCTATACTTTTTAAAATGAATTTGTTGTCATGGGCACGCATTGAGAAATTTGGCTTTGGTTTGATTGTATTCAGCTTTTTATTAGTACTTATTCAGGTGATTTCAAATACAAATTGATTTTGAATATTTAAAGTGCTGCAGGCTTATGGTACATTATCAGTATCGACAGATCTATCAATACATGTACACATTCATGTGTATGTATGTAATTTTGTTAGGTTCATGTTATCAAAACCCACTTCTTGGTATTGTAAAGTTTATAGCACACTCAACATTTGTCAAAATAAGGCCACCTCCTTCATGCAGTCAGCCCCAAACTGACGCGTACCGGTACGTGTGCATGCATGTGTACCCTTCTGTAAGAGTTTATTCCCAGTTAGAAAAATTTGAATGCGTCTTATTCAGTGTCTTAGAATACATACATTTTTTGTACTGGCTTCTTTAGGAATATTAACAGTTGAAAACCAAGTGCTAAAAATATGCCAGCTCGGTATGTGATTTGTACTTAAGAGATCTGAAGTTTAAAAGATGATTAAATACATGTACAGTGTACACCATATTTTGTCTACTGTGAGTAAAAAATAACTGGCCCTTGGAAGTCTGTTCCGAATGACAGCTATGTGTACTAGTAGCAAAGTATTTCTTCCACAGTACTGGGGTTTTGTGATGCACTAGTAAATATAGCATTGGTATTGGTATTTATATGATGTTTGTGTATTTCTCTTCCCACTTTATAACAACAATCCTCTCCCATGAACCTGGATGGCAAGCTGCCATTGTGTTTTTGTGGGTAGCTGGTCTCCTGTAATTGATATACATACGTAGTCTCTTGTGTGCCTTCTCCTGATGGATCAGTATCCTCAATATATTAAGGTGTAATTACTGCAGTGTGTCAACATGACACTGGATGAATTCCCTTGTCCCCCTGAAATATTCATGGCACCATCAAATGTTAATGGAAAAAAGTTCTACTTCCTGTCAAACAAAAACTGAGAGTTTGATTGATTTGTTTTATCTTATGTCCTCACTGCTTGCAAAGTGCATTACATTTACACGAACAGTGTATGTTACATGTACTCGTATGTGTGTTCTTTTCCCTTTACATTAGTTCCTCATGAATGGTTAAGAGAGAGTGTTGTTGAGGTTTCTTTCCAGTCACTGTTTTCTTAAAGTTCACTGTGCTCTGATGGATTGACCACTTTTTCATCATGTACATTATGTTGATGAAGTGACACCAAAGGGGGCTTTTTCAAGTACATTATAAGCTATGAGCAGGCTTTTTGGTTTTGGTGAAATCTTTGGTTTACTCTAAATTTACCCAATCCAAAACGCGCCCTCCTATTGTGTCCATCATGCTTTAAAAAGGCTAATAGTTTGGCTGACACAGACAGTAACCTGTACTTCTAAACGTGTACATGTACGTGTACACATACTGTACCATACTGTCTGTAGATTTGTGGTGTTGAATAAAACCACCATTCGATTCACAAGAATTTCTGTCAAATATAAAATCTTGCATGAATCTGAAAAGCTTAGATGTAAATAAGTCCCAGCCAAGCTACATGGTCTTGTTTGCTTTGTGGACAATTGGCTGGTGTTTGCTTTAGCACCTTGTTGCTTACTGTCATCCTTTTGTTGTGGGTCTGTCCTGTTTGTTGGCCCATTCCTACCCTGTGTGAGTGGAAGCAACCATCAACCTAGGGTACTTCATCAGGTGTAGTGGTCCTGTTTCTCTATGTGTTCTCAGTACTTAAGCAGGAATAAATGTGTATTTACCCTTCAATCACATCCTGGGTCACAAAAATAATGATTGTGTGAAATGCAGTGAAAAAATACGTATAGCTGAATTGTCATTCCTGACAGGGTGAATGTACACCCTTGTAAGATAACCACTGGTATGGTACTGAACACGTTTACATTTTAAGTTTCCTCTCTGTCCAGGTTTGTAGGCAAAATGTTTTTACTTTTGTCTTACAAGTTAAGTAACTGTTGTCTCAAAATTCAAAACAGTCATTGATTTTCAAGCTTGCTGTATAGTTTTCAAAAATAAGAGAATTGAAAAGTAAACAAAATCTGTTGATTGTTTGATATATGTTTAATGAACAATTGTACATTCCAAGGTAAATTGATTGATTTGGAAACGATGGCAAATTTTTGACAAGTTGATGTGCATCAACAAATAATAAAATCTGTAAATTTTGCAAGAATGACGTTGCCATAACATTGTGGTTCTGACCTACGTCTGTCTGTGATGTGAATTCCTTTGATTCTTTCATGAAATAGACTTTCTAGTGATAGTGATGATACTGCTGTTTACATTTCAGACCAGAAAGCAAGGGAAGGGAGTTCGCCTTGAAGTTGAAGAAGGACCAAATTCTGGCATTTCCAGACAGGTAGGCCAATCCACAGTGGCAATGTTTGTAATTGTTTAATCATTAATAGTCATCAGCTTACAGTAAACAGTTTGATTGTTTGTGGTACTTCCATTTAACAGTCATTTGCAAAAGTTAAGGACCACCCATATAAAATTCATATTCATTAACCTGAAGAAAAACCAGACTTAAACCAGTCAGTCGTGGCAGCTTATGTTTATTTTCAGTGTGTAACCTTAGTATCTCAGTTGAACAGCTATTTTGACTACATTTTCACGATATGAAATGTTAACAGTCTAATATTTAGTGTTCCCTCCTTTATTTCTGATTACTTAAAGACTGGCTTTTTTTTACCCATGCTGCCCTACAGACAAAATGTCACACGAGACCTGCCTTTGCAAAAAATATCATTCAAATGGTATAGCACTACTCTGATGTTATGCACCGCTGTAAAAAAATGTTGAGTAACCATTCAATGAGACCATGTAATGCAGACCCAGTGACACAAATACCGATAAAATTCCAGGTGGCCTTAAACTTTAGCAAATGACTGTACAGCAATGAAAAAGTTGGCAATGAAGAATGATGTCTCTGGCTGGGCCTACACACAGTAGAACTTATATATCCTCACTTGCAGCTTTGTTGCAATTACAGTAAAATCCTCAAGGCACATTTGTGTTGTTTCCCATATCCTTTTCACCAGGTCCTGGTATTTAACATTAAAGTGCCTTCTGTGAAAGCTCCCTGTGTAGACAAGAAATTTCTCATTTCTCAAAAAAACAAATTGTAGTGTGATGCATTATGATCTTGTATGTTCCTATAGCGCCCATGTAAATTTTCTTTGTTTTCTGCTTTCCAATAAGAAAATGTGTTGTAAGAAGCAGGCACTGACTTCTTAACCCCCCCACGTCCTGTAAAATCTGTCAGAAGATCAGAGAGGATTAGAGAGATTGAACCCAACCACTATACAGTAGACTTGGTACCCTTTTAAATTTAAGTGCAATTCGATTTCTGCATAGTTTGAGAATTTGGGTAGATTCAGGATAGTTCATAGTCAGAAGTCAGGGTTATCCAAATTTATTGTAATTTTCATTCATCATACTCTCTGGTTTTTAAAAATCTTTAAATGTACCTGAAGGCTGAGAGTAGCAAGACACATCTGTGAGGTTTACGTCAGCACTGCAATGCTGCACGACTACATGTATAGTTGCTCATTGAAGTCTGCCATCGTATCCAAAGAAGAAAAGGCTGAGGTAATTTTAAAAAGTATTTGCAGCTTCTTAAACGCACATGTACATGTCCATATACTGTACATGTGTGTGTACCACTATATCATAGGGCTGAATCAATTTGAATAATTCACTATTTGAATATTCGACCTTCAATTTGATCGAATATCCGAATATTCGGTCGCACTGACTTGCAGAGTATTGATGAACTAAGGATATACAAAATTAGTTGCAATAACACTCTATGTTGTCCATTATGATCAATATAACAGCTTCTCACATCTAGGAGTATCTCCAGCCACAATTTTGCAAGATCGAAGAGATGAACAAGACCTCTTGCCCTGTTGAAAATGTCTATTCCTTTAAATTGTTTAATGCATAAGTTACTTTCGAAATCGTTGTAAGATTTCTGAATTTTTTCATTTGAATCTGCTTGAAACAAGCCTCCATAGTGCAATTTTTCCCATTTAAAACAAAAGAAAATTCTTCCTTCCTTTTCATGAATTTTGCATTCGAATATTCAAATTAAAAAATATTCAAATATTCGACAGTCGATCAAATATTCGGTTATTCGGATATTTGGCACAGCCCTACTGTATCATAGAAATATTACTTCTTCAATCAAATTCTTACTGGTATTTCTTTCTCTTAAAGCACACAACTTTGCTGCTGTTTTTGTCTTTAATCATTCAAACGGCTGTATTCAGTGAGCAAAAGAAGTCTGGCAGTATACCCAAGCTTTACAAATCTTCAGCCATGCTTTAAGACGCAGGTGTGGGGTGTTAAAAACTAATATTAAATTCATAGAAGAGACCTGTGACTTACATTAATCAGGAATAGGTCATACCCCATCGTACACGCACATGTGTTAGTGTAATATCTAAGTGTAATATCCAAGATTTGTTTTTTTATTACCCCATACCAGGCTGAAAGTGCAACTACAATGTTATGGTGTACATGTACATGTTTAGAGCTTTGTTGAGTATTGTGGTCCCTTCTCTTTTCAACGTTTCCTTTCAATTCCAGTTTTTCAACTCCATATTCATCATCTTTCATTTTCAGTATCACAGTGTGTGTATCACCGCAACAAATCCTGACAAAATTCCCCTCCTGCAATAAAATCCTGCATTACTTGCACACGTAAGGCCAGTAAATGTTTTTGTGACCGTGGGGATAGAACTTTGTATAATAACACAAACCGTCATAACCTTTTATACTAATAGAACTTAAGTTGTTACAGAGCAAACTGTGGTGTGCATTGGGGTGAATAATCCTTTTGCACCGGATTAGTGGCCCACCAATTAGATGAAGACACATGCTGGCATACCGGTAGTACAAACAATATGATGTACATGTATGTATGCAACATTTTCATTTTCAGCCATACATGTACAGTACTGGTATGTGCATATATAATGAACTGTTTTCAAGAATTGCAGATTAAAGAGAACTTAACGGATAATCATAAATTCACAGTGAAACTGCATACATTTTTTTCATTGACATCACAAAATTTCACTTTTTCTTTGCTTGAAATTCAAAGTGTTTAAGTGTGCAAATACAAGGCCATTATACCAGTATGTCCGCACTTAAAACAGTGCAGCCAATTCACTAATGTATTTTTTGGGGGGGAGGACTTGGTTTACATTATTTTTAAACATTCTGAGATTTGTGTTTGATATATAAATTAAATAATTTATTTGCTCTCAAATACTTGATTAGACCTACATGTACATGTAAATATGAAGTTGAATAGTGATTTGCATACATACATGTTCATCCACATGTACATGTACATGTATGTTTATGCAAACAATTTCAAAAAAGAAAATTTTCATGGTATTAAATTAGCCAGAAGAAGTGTGCATGTATGTGAAAATACGGTATTATTCGATATACTTTCATTGATCATAATATGGCAAGTGTACCGATACGTGTACATGTAGCTTTCAGACAAGTGCTGATATTTGGTCGTGGATTAGCAAGAGTAATTGACCTTGTCTTGGTCAGTGCGTACAGATTGAAAATGAGCTCATCAGAAAGTTTAAGATGTTGTGAATGAAGGGTCAAGATGCATCTGACTCCCTGTACATACATGTGTAAATTCATGTAAAATTGGGAAAGGGATGTGGAGGGATGTGGAAACATACATTGTACATGTATTAATGTTATATTAATCATAGTGAGGCTGAAATATTAATGAGGGAAGTTGAGGTACATGGACAGTACAGTGTACCCATGTGTTGCAAATTAAATAAAACAGTCATTGTGTAATTTTTAGAAACATTGTAGATGTTTTTCAGCGCTGCATTCTGAGAATATTTTACACGACATGTCATATAAAAGTCCACGTTTTGCTTCCTTTTTCTTGTTTTGTCTTGCACTTCATCATGTAGAGGTGTGCATCAGAACAAAGTAACAGAGTACCTAATCATTTGATGTCAGGAACTGGTTCCAAATGATGAGAGTGGACACTCACAGCTAGATGTAGAAATGATTACATTAGCAGAGTTCATGTTGAACTTTATATTCATTTTGACGTGTTACAAATTACACAGCATGATGCTTGTACCAGTACAACAGCACAATGCAGAGAAATTTACTTATTTACTTTCACATTGGAAAAAAAAATGAGTGGGTCTTCTGATTCCAACTTAGGTAGTATGATATCCGGTACTTCACGTGCTTCCATTAAACATCATAAATGGGCAGATGAATAGACAGCAGTAATTTAAGGTTTGAAGTCCAAAGGAGCTTTCTAGGAATTGGCAAGTTTTTATTTGTTTATGTCTTTTTCCCTTTTTTTGTTGCGTTTCGTTTTTGAGTACCTGAGTATTAAATGCACACTGCTACCGTTACTTGGTTGGATTTCTGTTGCCCTTATAAAACTTGATTTGAATATTAACAGTAGATACATGTACTTTAACGGAACAATCGTGTCAATAGCTGACAGCACCTTTAAAGTGTACATGTAGCTGCAATTTGAATAAATTTTTCTTAAACACATTATTTCTTAAACTTTAAATTCTTCTTCAATATGGAAACTCTTTTACCATCCTATTTTGAAAAGTGCCCCCTATTAAACAATTGAAATTATTCATGCTTTCCTGGACAACTGAGGGTGTTGATGCTTTGAAGTCATCGAGGGAATACAGAATTCAGTGTATAAGCTTTTCTGTTCAAATTTTGAACCCAGAATTTATTTATTGACAATATTCTGAGAAGTGTATTAATGGTTGCTTATTGCTATGCAAAGAATCACCCTCAGCAGCAAAAAAGGGAGAAAACTGAATTCAGCAAAGTCTACAAAAATGTGGTACTTTTTTGTTTAAAAACCATAACATTGAGACTTCTTCCTTAGATGACATCACAGTTTTGCTCATGAATATGTAAATATCACTAGCAGAGAAGTAAAGAACTCAGTAAATAGTGAAACTACCTAACTGCTGTGTTGACTACTAGTGAAAATAGTTAACTGAGACACAGAGGTGCATTTTGAAGGTTTGTATTGGAACAAAATCGATTGCCGCTACACCTTAAAGCTTTCCCACCCAAAATGATTGAACAAAATTGTGGCTGACATTAAGCTGTGCCTGTTATGTACGTGAAACCACTATGTCACAATACTCCAACCAACCACGCACTTAATGGTACTCTGTACTGCACCTGTGTGATGTGTTGACTGTGGAATTTAATTTGATTGCCCTCCCTTGCCACAGGAAACGCTCTGCTTCCAGTTTCGCGGGCTGTAATTTTTAAAAACTTGCCTGTAATTAAAAGGAGCAGATTGTTGGTTGAAAGTATTTTTGTATGTACATGTATCTGCAGACGTAATGTAGGTTCTTTGTGTATGGAAAGCACCATGTTCATGTCGTACTGACATTCGTCATGGAAATGCAATTTGTTGCAAAGATGAAATAGGCAGTAACGACCATCATTTCTGGGCTACACACAAAGGCCAATTACCATATATACAAGAGGGAGGATCTGCCTTCTTTCACCATGTTCGCTCGAGCGTGGGTCGAGAATAATAGCTGAAAAGGGGGCAGAAGATCTCAATTTTTACGGCATTTCTAGCCGCGTCCCGGCATGAAGGGGTTAAATTGGCTTATTTGACCTGTCAATTAAACCTGTAGTCTTAAGTTTTGCATTAGTTTGCTGTTGGTTTTTTTAGTTTTGCTTACTTTGCAAAACATTTGTTATTGCCCATACCTGAAAATCAGTGATCAACTGGACATTGGGTCATTATCCGATAGCACAACAAAAAGTTGAACTAACAGCATTGCTTACAATTCATGGTGAATTGCCTATAAATTGTATGGCATTTGCCAGACATGTCAGACAGGAACTCCCATGTGTCCACTCTCTTTCATCTTCAACAGGGAGATGACAGAAATTGTGTGAGCCCAACAAGCCAGTGGTAGTCTGGTTCTTACCAAATATCTTTTAGTCCCTGTTCCAACCACTATCTTCCTGTTGAATGGATAAAGGTCTCAATGGTGCTTATCAAACTTCTTTTTGTTGTGGGCCATGGCCGTAACTGACAAAGTACTGGTACTGTTTGTGTAGTGATCTGATTATTGTGACTGGCCCCCATGATATGAGTGGCAAGGCCATTTAGTTTTACAGCTCTAGGAAGAGCAATCTGAACTTTCATTTGATGTGTAATTGCTCAGCTTGGTATTCCGTTAAACATTGGGCATGGGCAATTGTAGGGTTCACATTGATTTACATTGTGCAAGATTCTTTGAAAGGCTCTTAACTCTGGTAATTCGCAACTAATTTTGTTAGGGTTGCACATGTGACAAATGGCAAACAGTGGAGTAACTACAGTGTATAGGATGTGGTTGGGCATGGGGGCACAGCCACCCCCTGCTGATTGAGGCCTGTGCCCCCATGTGTCCCCCCCGCTTACAAATTAGACAAGGGGAAAATCTTGTGATGGTCAATGTTTCAAGTACATGTACATGTATGACCAAACTGAATGAGTGCCCCCCCTCCAGAAAATGAGGGCCCCCATGTGC